CCTGCTGCTGATGCTCTGCAGGTGCCTCCAGGGCTGGGGACTTTCCTTTGAGTACAAAAAGAGTTTGGAGAAGAGGTCATATCATTGCTCACTTAGCACCCAGCAGGACAGGCTGGGGCACCTGGGGATCTTCAGCAGCAGCTGAGCCTGCTGGGGACTGCAAGGGAAACAAAACAGAACTGGAACACCTCAGCCAGGTATCCTTGCTCTCCTTGGCTCAGCAGCACTCCTGCCCCTCCACTCCTGTACAGCCCACAGGCACCTGTGGCAGGGGCTGCCTTTTCCTGTGCCTGGCCTTGCTGTTCTGACTCATAATTTTATGATAAGCAAAATCCACATTTCCAGAGCTCTCCCTGCACAGACGTCACCTGGCTTAGTGCACAGCTGGAGGACATACCCACCTGGTCTCTCATCCCGGCCTCTCTCTGACAGTTGTATGGAAAGAGGCTGTACAGAAAACTTGGGGTAATCCTGCATCCTTGTGTCAACTGAAGGTCAATAGCAATGCAACATCACAACTCAGCTTATAGTCACCTTTGTCCACTCTGTTCTGCATCTGTGTTCACACTGTGGCATATATGGATAGAGCAACTCTCATAGCATCTTTGAGAAAACACTTGAGAAGACCTAGCAATCTTCAGGAAGCCAAGAAGAAGCAGATGGAGCTGGGGCTTTGTCCTACTGCTTCTTGGTCATAAGGAATAAATAAAGCCAGTTTCTGGAAACACACTGCCACCACCCAAGCAATGTGTGAGCTATTATGACCAGATCTGCCAACTCAGGTAGATGTTTTGAATGCACATCACAGGACACAACAGCACTGTCATCTGTGTGGTGACACTGGGGCTGGATGCTCTGCTGACCACATGCCTGTAGTTGTTGTTCTGCTGCACTGACCATCCAGACCCTGGAATGCTAACAGTATGCAGGGTAAGTAGAAGGGAATTAATCCCTTCTGCTTTCTCTGGTGTTCACCACCATCTTGCAGATGTGGTGCTGAGGGACATGGTTTAGCACTGGAGTTGGCAGGGTTAGCTGAATGTTTGGACTCGATGATCTTTAAGGCCTTTTCCATCCAGAACAGACCTGTGATTCTGTGAGTCACCTGCAGTGCAACCCTGGCTGCTGAACACACCAGCAAGACACCACCAGTTTTTCTCTAGGACAAAAGAGGAAACTTGCTTTATAAACTAGTACTTAGATATGCTTTTAAAATTCCATTCAAGGGACTTTGCATTTATATCCTGTTAAACCAGCCCTCCAACAGACCTCGTCTGCCAACAGCAGGAACAGCTGGAGAAGACACAGGAAAACCTTGAAGCAAAAATAACCTTCAGGAACACAGAAGCATCTGAGAATCAGCACCAAGCACCTCTGTCCTCTCACCCTCTCCCGGATCAGGGGTGTCCCAGCACTTACGGCTCCGATTTCGCTTCCTTACCCATTGTACCCTGGATGACGGAGCCTGGGAAGCTGCCAGGTGGCAGAAATACAATTTCTAAACACTTCCACGAGCAGATGTGGCATCGCAGGGAAGCCTGGCTCGTTCCCAAAGAGCCCTGGTCGCTGCAGAGCAGCAAATCCACGGTGGCCCCCGGTTCTGTGTCCCAGCCAAGCGGGCAGTTATATGGCAGGGAGACAGCAGAGGGCAGCCCCACCCTGCTGATGGCAGGCAGCGCTGCCGGCAGAGCGGCTGCTGTCACGCTGCCTGCGAAGGTGAGCCAGGCACTTCTGCACGCCAGGATCGGGAAAGGAGAAGGGAAGATGGTGGCAGACACTGCCTGCTGCCCTCACTCGCCATCCTCGGAGCCTCCGTGCAGTGCGGAGCCTCCCTGCAGGGTAACTAGTGATCAGAGTGACAAAATTGCTCGGGTACATCATGTTTTCTGGGGCTGCTGGAGACTCAGTACGGTCCAGCTGCCTGGCTGGAGCTCGATGTGCCCCTCGGGATGCCCCTGCTGAGGCTGCTGCCTCTCCCCAGGGAAGGCTGGGGTGGGCAGATGTCACCCCCCGTGCCTGCGTGGGGTCCCAGGCACAAGGGTGACAGCAGCAGGGTGCTTGCCTCACCCTGACCATAATGGGGATGGCATGAACTCTTCCTGAAAAAAGGCCATGCTGAAAATGGGGTGAACACTTGTCACCTTTGCTTGTGTGGTGGGTCCAGCCCCCCGGGCAGGGGGGGCTGCCCTGTCCTCCCTCACCCACCCAAACACCCACTGCACATTGCAGTGAAGTGATGAGCTGGGGCAGCATCACGAGACACAGGAAAGGGCATAACCTTGTTAGAGATTTATTTGCTGCAATTTCACGCTGCCTGCGAAGGTGAGCCAGGCACTTCTGCACGCCAGGATCGGGAAAGGAGAAGGGAAGATGGTGGCAGACACTGCCTGCTGCCCTCACTCGCCATCCTCGGAGCCTCCGTGCAGTGCGGAGCCTCCCTGCAGGGTAACTAGTGATCAGAGTGACAAAATTGCTCGGGTACATCATGTTTTCTGGGGCTGCTGGAGACTCAGTACGGTCCAGCTGCCTGGCTGGAGCTCGATGTGCCCCTCGGGATGCCCCTGCTGAGGCTACTGCCTCTCCCCAGGGAAGGCTGGGGTGGGCAGATGTCACCCCCCGTGCCTGCGTGGGGTCCCAGGCACAAGGGTGACAGCAGCAGGGTGCTTGCCTCACCCTGACCATAATGGGGATGGCATGAACTCTTCCTGAAAAAAGGCCATGCTGAAAATGGGGTGAACACTTGTCACCTTTGCTTGTGTGGTGGGTCCAGCCCCCCGGGCAGGGGGGGCTGCCCTGTCCTCCCTCACCCACCCAAACACCCACTGCACATTGCAGTGAAGTGATGAGCGGGGCAGCATCACAGAGACACAGGAAAGGGCATAACCTTGTTAGAGATTTATTTGCTGCAATTCATTTTTCAGTAAATAGGTCAGAAGAGCCCTGGCTCTTACAGAAACATCGTTAGAGAGGGTCGGTGGCAGAAATTTTAGCCCATAGATGATTTATAGCCTTTCTTTCCCAATACTAGGGACTTGGACAGTTTGCTATTTGATCAGCATCTGTGTGTGGAAAAAAATCTCAAGACGGGAAGCTCCTGCTGGCTTCAGCAGTAATTTTGTTATCTTCCCAAAGGCCAAGGTGGGCGTGTATCACCAGGGTCCCTCTTCTGTCACAGGTGTTTTCTTTCTCCTCTCTCCCGAGATCTGTTTTAGAATTTAAATCCTGGCTTTTGCCACATTTCATCTGCATGTGTGATGCTTCCCAGGAAGGTCTGACTCAAGAAGCAATCAGACAGCAAGCAGCAACCACAACCATCATGCTCCCACCTGCGACCCACGGTCTGACTCCCCCAGTGACCGTGAAGGCTGGTGGACACTGCCCGTGTTTCTACTCTGAGAAGTCAGCAGGGAAGAGGTCCCTCAAAGCACGAATAAACTGAGAAAAAGAATTAACTACGACCATTAATTTGGCAACCCCCATTACTATTTTGCACTTCCAGGACAGAAAAACAGCTGCAGCTCCTTGCATTGGTTCTCCAGTGTTTGTAATTTAACACGGGGTGGGGAGATGCTGCTGGTCCCAGAGGTGTGGTGCACACCAGTGTGTCCAGGGGCACATCACACATGTGCTCCTGGCCCAGTCTGGCAGAGCAGCCCAGCCACGGGCAAGCCCAGGTGCAGCACAGCACGAGGAGCTCGCTCAGCTGCAACACCATTGGGTCACCCCTGGTGACAAACTACCTGGCAGAAGTAAAGTGGCTTTTCCTAACAGAGACGGGCACAGTGTTTAAAATCCAGAACATGTATTTTTGCAGCAATACATATCTGGCAGACAGTATCTGTGAAATGCTGAAAACTGAGGGCCTTCCTTTTGCTGTTGCAGGAGATGTCTGCAGACCTCCAGTGCACAGCGCTGCCCAGACTGCCAGTGGGGATCCCTGGCCTTCTGCACCCCACTGCTCTCTGCCCAGCAACGACAGCTCACATAAAAACATGGAGGTTTCTTCTGCAGGCAGAATAAGCATCTGTTAGCCCAAGGTAATGACAAGCTCCTACCTGGTTCACAGAAAGGATGGACAAGTGTATTGTGGCAACATGGCTGTGGGCAGCCCTCACAGTGTTGATGCAGCTGGGGGATGGGCAATGCCAGCCCAGTGTCCCCTGGGACTCCTCAGTCTCTGGTAAACTCAAAGCAGCATATATCAGAGTCACAGAGGGGTTGAGATGGGAAGAGATCTCTGGAGGTCATCTGGTTCAATCCCCTTGCTCAAGCAGGGCCTCCTATACCCAGCTGTCCAGGACTATGTGCAGATGACTTGTGAGTATCTCCAAGGATGGACACTCTGCAGCCCTCAGGACAATCTATGCCTGTGCTTGGTCACTCTTGCAGTGTACAAGTGTTCCCTGATGTTCAGATGGAGTCTCCCATTTCCATTTGTGCCCTTGACCTTCTGTTCTAGGACAAGGATCTCTGGGGATGGCAGCGTGGGCTGGCTGCTGCTGATGGGTGCTGTCAGAATGTCTCACACGGTGTTGCACACATTGTAGTTACTCAGTAAGTAAAACAGGGAAGTGGGAGCCCTCCTTGGCAGATGCCCCTTCCCTTGGCTAGTATGAAGACATACTCCATCCCTAAGGGGCTGCTGCTCCTGTCTTCATTTTCCACAGTCGCTGCCCCAAGTCCATTCATGGAGGTTTGTGCAACGTGGGTTTGAGGATGTGTAAGCAGCCTCTGGGAGGCTCCAGGGCTCCTCCAACCTCAGGGGTGGGATTATAACATTTCAGTCAACCTCTGCATCCTCCCAGGAGCAAACCCAAAGCAAAGTCCCCACTGATGGTCCCCTGGCCATCACACACCTGCCAACTGCCTTGCACGAGTGCCTGCCCACTGCTGCCATCTGACACACATTTGTATTTCACTGTCCTTGGGCTGTTCTGTTTATGCAGATTGTCAGAGACCTTTGCACTTTTAGAGGGGTTCTACTCCTGAAGAACCAAGCTGCTTCTGCATGGACGTCACAGCCCACAGACTGAGTGAAGAGCAGATCTCCATGAGTCATTAAAGTCCCTCTCCCCTGAGAAGCAGCTGCTCTCAGTTACACGCCGCAGGTGTGTGCGTCTCCAACAGAAGGTGGGAAAAGGAATTTTTTAGCTCTCAAGTGTAAAATGAATGTTCAATAAATAGAAGCATTTCTCAGGCATGAAAAAGCGGCGTTGGAGTCACCAGCGCCCCAGGGCTATTTACTTGGCTGTGCAACTAGTGGTGTGTGGGGCACAGCAGCTCCTGAGCTTTGTTAGGCATGCGGCAGGTTTTTCCTTCAGCGCTTCTGCTGCCCGTCTGGTTTGCTCTTAAATAAGCATGAGGCACAGGCTGATGCTGTGGGGATGCCTTGAAGAGGGCAGCTCAAGTTCAG